TTCAGATGGTCAAGAAAGGGGAAATGGGCGCGCAAAAAGTTGAGCGGGAGAGAGAAAGAGAGGGAGAAAAACAGTTACGAGGAGAGAGGAAGAGGGGGCGAAGGAAAAAGGAGCGCTGGAGAGAGTGATGCGGGGGACAAAGAGGAAAAAGCTTTGCATGCGTGGCATCGTCAACAAAAAAAGAAAAAGGCACCGAAACAGTTACAACTTGCCTACATCCTAAACCAATTCAAAATTGAAATCACCATATCCGCGCGCGGAAGAGCGACGCGGGAAAAGAAAGTCCTACGCCTATTCGCATCCCCACAAAATTCTGAGAGTTTTCCCTAACGCGACCGAAAACGTTCACACATAAAAAGGACACGTCGAAGTTCCGCTTATCCCGGAATACCCAACTGTCGGGCCCAATTCCCAGTGCGCTCGCTAAGGCGCGTGTAAATTCCTATGCATTTCCCAACGTGCAAAAAGAAAAAAAGCAGAACCGAAGAATCACAAAAGCTTCCGGAAGATGGGGGCTCGAAACGCAGCACCCGAAATCAAGAAAAACGAAACGGGGTCTTTATGGGGTGGGTATGATACAAGCGAAAAGGGTACGAAAGATAGCACGGTTTCGGGAAGTAGTTCGTCACATATGTGACGCGCAGGGGGTTCCAAAACTATGCGATCTCCTGATTGCATGTCACGGCGGAGAAGGAGAGAGGGAGAGAGAGAACAGAGTGATGCATGAGGAACCAAGCGTCTCAACAGACGATCCAGCCAGAGCCCATGTTGATGCCATCTTCAATTGCCATCGTGCTGCTGGATTCATCGATGGTCGTCCAGGTGACGCCATCATCGCCCGCCGGTTCTCTGTGTGCCCTGCACCCCAGGTTGTCACTGCTCGTCGAATCAGAGCGTAAATTGACGTCATCGTCGATGGCGTGATCTTCGCGAGGCTTACTGATTCGTGCCTTTTTTTTTTCTTTTTTTTTTTCCGCCGATTAGATGGAGAGAGGAGGAAATAGTCAGGTGATCGGGATCTATCGCCTAGTTGGAATGGGCCAGTAGAGGCGGTACATGGAGGGGAGCTCACGGGGACGACGGGGTGGAAGTGGGGGTAGGTAGCGATTCATCCCTTCCATTGTCACCGGAAGCTCCTCATATCGGATGATCCGGTGGAAGCGATCGCCCCTATGAGGGAGGGAGGCGAGGTAGTCGCGATAGAAGGAGGAAAGGGTGAGGCGGAGCGCCGCTCGAAAGAACTCGTAGTGGCGACAGGCGGGGATTGTCCCCGTGGCTACGCAGTAGACTTCTACCGCGTTGCATCGCTCCCATGCAGCGCTGAACAGCAGGATATGCCAGCAGAACGTGGGGGCAGCGGGTTGAAAGGATGGGTGGGGGTAGACGGTAGCAAGTTGGCGGGTAGAGTAGAAGTCACGGAAAAGATGGGGAAGGAAGGGATGGAGGGGAAAGGTGACGGGGGCACGGATCTGTTTGAGGGTGAGAAAATCAAGGGGACGACGGGATAGCGTCCGAGGTCGAAGGCCTATCGCCCGCATCGGTACGTGGGCGAACTGGGGGACGGGTGGGGCTGGAGGAGGAGAGGGATCTGCTCCATCTCCGTCGTGAGGTTCTTGGGGAGGCGGCTGCGGGGTCGCCATCTTCGGGCTTCGGCGGCTCCGGATTCTTGGTGGGATCATCACCGATGCGCAGGCTTGCTCCGCTGGCGAATTCTAAATGGCGTTTCCCGGCGGTGATTTCTTCCTGCTTGCGTGCGGCCTCAGGATCTTCCGCTTTTGTGCCCGTGCGTACAGCTTCCTCCGGCAGGGCTTCCCACTCAGATACGGTTTCTTCTTCCTCCTCTTCTTCTTCACTCAGCTCGCCCTCACTATACTCGCTATAGCTTCCTTCCTCCGACGTTTCCTCGTCGTTGTCTTCTTCGTCATCGTCGATCACCACTTCCTCCGCCTTCGGATAAGAGGAGTGAGGAATGATGTCGTAATGCTTCAGATACTCTTGTCGTGATGGTAGCGTATCTTCGTCCCGGGGTTCCTCCAAGCACGCAGTCCACTGAAGGTACGGATCCAACGACCGCTCGAGAACGTATGGTGCGGGGCTGTCGTCACTTTGCGAAAAGATATCAGGCGAGAGATCGTCCGCCAATTGTACGATCGGCGCGATGAGCTCCTGCGCAATCAACTGACGGCGGCCCGGTCGTACCGATCCAAAGAGAAAGTCGACAAGGTCACCCTCGACGTTAGTTCTCCAAGCTTGTACGATCAGCAGCTCCAAATTTTCGATCCACGCAGGATGCTCACTGGTCTGCGTCCACGTCACCTGTACTCGGGCCGAGCAGAAGGACAGCTCGTTAAAAGTTTCGCGCCACAGCCGCCAATGCCCAGGATTAATAAGCGGGACAGAGAGAGGTTCAAACGAGAAGGAAAGAGAAGGATGAAGATTGGATTGCCATAACGTGGGGAAAAGAGAGGGGAGACCGAAGATAGAGAGAGGAGCGAGGGGATCATCAGGGACGTGGGAAAGGGACGAGGGTGGGGATCGCAACCGGCGGCTCGCGCGGAGAACAACGGATCTCGCCAAGATCCGGTGCAAAGGTCGGGAGGAGGTTATGCCATGGCCGGGCAAGACCATGTTGCCACTTGTTGGACCCTTGCTCCGTCCACTCTCACAGCGAGGTCAAGATCGCGGTATGCCACCGTGGATTGAGCGAACTGATGTCGCCGCTGAAAGCCGCAACCGTGGTGACGTGGCTCGTTCCGGGAGCCGCTCGCCGATGGACTGCGATTACTTCTGCCAGTACTACTGCCTGTGAGTTCCCTTCGAATCGAAACGTGGCGGCAGCACACACACCCACGTCGCAGAAGAACTGCGCCAATCGCCGAAGATCCGTATTAAGCCGTGGATGACGAACTTGCCGAATTTCCGAGATATGGCCACGTGGCTGCAACAGCTGTTCGTCAAGAGCCCGCTCCGTGATGAAACTCATGGCGAGGTCGGAGAGGAGGAGGAAGGGTTGGAGGGAGAGAGCGGAGAAAGAGTTAGATCGTCGTCGTTCTCCTTGCTTTCGGGGGAGGGAGAGGGAGGAAGATGAGAGGGAGGGAGAGGACGAAGGTAGGAGGTATGCTGGACGATGGGGACAAAGCTATGGCTGGCACTAGCCTCAGGCGCAATGCGCACCGTGTTGGCGCCGTTAGGACCGAGTTCGATAAAAAAAAAGCAGCCAGAGAACTTGGGAGCGAGTTTGCGGTCGCGTGCACATTTACGTACCTGCACTAGGTCCCTAATTTATATTGATGCTGGGGCCCAACATTTCCATTCCGAGCCTCGTAGCTACAGACCTGCCTACCGTGGGCCAGATCGGTCATCCTTTGTCTTTTTCGGGCTAGCTTCGGAACGGCCCGCTCCATTAATTCGGTGTACCTTTTAGCCTTGGCCTTGAGGGTTGTACATGTGTCTCTACCCCCTGCTTTGGCAATTTCCGAGTTACCCCGGTAGTCGACACAGGGGAGGCTATTAGTACGAAGCTGAAAAGGGGTAAACCCCATGAATTCGTGAGGGGTGGCCCGGTGGATCCCGACGATCTGATATACGATATCGGGCCACGGACGCGTGTCGTGTGCCGCTAAATTCCTGCGAAGGGCGGTTTTAATCATACAGTTGGCGTTCTCAGCCAACCCGTTCGACTGGGATACGTGGGGTGCTGTACGTCGGAGCGTGACGCCCCTTCGTGCGAGCAGTTCCTCTACTTCTCCCTTAAATTCGTACTCATTGTCGGTTAGAATTTCTTTCGTATCTAGATAGGTATAGAGGAACCGTTCGATGTACGTGGCTATTTCTGCGGCCTTTCGGGTCTTACAGGGATAGACCTCGATGTACTTGGAAAAATAGTCTATTAACACTAACAGGATAGAATATTCACAGCGATTTGGGCCAGGTGGCACGTCGATATCTGTTGTGTCCATACGGACTCGTTGAAAGGGGCGCTCTACTTCCGTTGGTACTATCGTGTTTGGTCCCCGTATTGGGGCGCGATCAGCGGCACAGACCAGGCAATTGGCGACAGTGTATCTGACATCATCTCGTATGTTGGACCAGAACCATTGGTTTTGGTCTGTAGTTGCCTCTGTGACACGTATCGCGAAATGAGCAGCCTGTTCTTCGTGAGCCGATCGGATCCAATCATATCTCTGGAATGGATGGGAAACCGTCAACCACGACCCCGATCCGTCAGTTTTACGCTTCTCCAAATGACCGTTGATCCATCGATAGTCCCGAGATCTCTCGGTTGCCCTACGTCTGTCGTGGTTGGTGAGGTGTCCCAATGATAATCCCGCTAATTTCGTCAACAAAATTTTATCCGTCCAGACCTCCGCTCGTCGGTAATTTTCGTCGTACTAAGGGTCGTCTGTTTGGGCGGCCTCGAATCGAACCTCCGTGGGAAGTTTGTTCGTTCTACACAGGGGGCACCTCCATTCCTTGCTACTCGTCCGATATCGAACGCAGGCCCCGTGCGCACGATTGACAGACGTGGCACATTCTACCCAATCGACAAACCCGGTTTCGAAAGGATGACAGTCGACCCCATAAACCCATGCAATACACGTACAATTTATCGGGGAGGGTGGCAAAGAAGGCTGAGGAAGTGAGAGAGGCAGAATTAGTAGGAGAAGAAGGGGTTGCAGAGGCAGGTGAGGTAGCCATGATGACAGAGGAGGAGAGATAAGACCGAATCGCGGAGAGGGTAGAATCAGACTATTTGATCCTCGTATCACTTACTGCCTGTCTCTTATACACATCTAGATGTGTATAAGAGACAGGGGTAGAATCAGACTATTTGATCCTCGTATCACTTACTGCTTAGACAAGATCTCTACTTGGCCGTACCGAGGTCCAACCTCCTGTTCGGGTTCGTTCCACGGAATCACCACTTCACTCTTCGGAACTTTCTCAGGCCGGTGCAGTCGTGTCAGTCCGTCCGCATTCCCGTGTCTCTCGTGCTTCCGATGACGAATGTCAAAGTCCATGCTCTGTAGCACCGTTGCCCATTGCCCGATCATGCCAGAGTAATCCTTCGATTTCTTCAGAGCCAACAGGGGCTCATGATCGGTTACCAAGGTGAACTTCCGCCCGTACAGCTAAGCGCAAAAGTGACTGATTCCCCAAAGAGTCGCATAGCATTCTCCCGTCGGAGCGGCGTAGTTGCGCTTGCAGGGGGCACCAATTTGGACGCATACTCCACCACGCTCTCGAGTCCACTTGGTCCCACTGGGGCAAGGATAGTCGAAATTGTCTCTAGCTGCCAGTCAGTGATGAGAACAAAAGGCTTTTCGGAATTTGGTCTTATAAGGACCGGAGCCAAAATGAGAGCGGCCTTGAGTTTCGAGAACGCTTGATCAGACTCCGGCGTCCAGATCAACGGCTGATCTTTGCGCAGCAGATTCGTGAGGGGTCCCGCGATCGCCGCGAAGCCTTTGACAAATCTTCGGTAGTACGAGGCCAGGCCCAAAAAGGCGCGAACTTGCCTGATAGTCGTGGGCACCGGCGCATCTCTGACAGCTGCCACCTTCTGCGGCTCTGGTTGGAACCCCTTGTCTGTTACCACGTGTCCTAAGAAGGAAATAGTGGTAAGGAAAAACTGGCACTTCTCGAGCGCCACCTTGAAACCCGCATCTCGTAATGCATGTAGAGCCCATTCGATGTGTTGCACGTGTTCTTCGTAGGAACTGGAGTACACCAGAATGTCGTCTATGTACACAATCATGCAGTAGTTGATGATGCTCTGCGCCAAACGAGTCTTCCGTACGAAATTCTAAAAAGTCATATCCATGGTTCTCTGAAAGGTCGCGGGAGCATTGCAGATACCCATTGGACATCGAATCCACTGCCACGTACCCTCGAAAAGTACGAACGCCGTTTTCGGAAAATCTTCTTCTCAGACAAGAAGATGATGGAACCCATGGCGAACATCAAACTTACTGAAAAATCGAGCACTCCCAATCGCATCCAACAACTCATCAATCCGGGGGAGGGGGTACACATCCTTGATCGTGATATCATTCAATTTTCGATAATCAATGCAAATGCGAATCCCTCCGGCCTTTTTACGCACGATCACTACGGGGAAAGACCATGGACCTATAGTGGGTTCGATCCATCCATTAGTTTCAAACTCCTTAATCCGCTGAAAAGCAGCTGCTCTTTGAGCTGGCGAGTATCGGTAAGGAGTGCAGCTAATGGGCGGATGTTTTTCCGTGAGGACGACATGCTCGATCACGTTAGTCAAGCCGATATCATTATCATGCACGCTCAGCACCTCTGCATACCCGTTCAAAACATTGATTAGTGACTTTCGAAGTTCCGTGGGGACGTGGCTTAGTAGGGTGATCGTTGATTCCCCATGAGTCTTAAGGGGTATGTCGATCAGATCAACCGGCCGCACCCTTCGATCGTAAACACTGGAAAAGATAGAACTACTGGTGCGAACAGAAAAGACAGTCACAATCATCTGTGATTCAGCGGGGCTGATCATTTCGGTTTCTTTAGTTTCGGCGTCAGTTTCTGAGTCGGTCGAAATCTGCTGCACAGTCAGTCCTGTTAGGTCCGTTATCTCCTCCATTAGATCAGGCACATCATCTACCGGCGCTTCTGCCTTCTGTTCAATCAAAGCGATGGCCGCCCCCGTCGTTAGCAACGATCTGGGCGGGAAAACAGAAACGTCTAGATACTGTTTCATTTGTTGATAACGTGTTCGTAAGGAAAGCGCTCCCTCATACAAGGTGCGAGGGGGTTCCAAATCATTAGCCAGGTCAGACACTTGTAATATGGGTTCCCCTAGGAGGACTAAAGGACTGACCTGGGTTTTCGGAGGCGCGAGCGTGCTGTCTCCTGAATCCACGTGGAAGCTTAGGGTTGTGTCGGGGCACACTTGAAATTTTTCGGGAATTTCGTGTTCGAAAAGTTCGACCAGTTGCTTTCATTCATCCTCACTAGACAGTTCTTCTTCGTATTCCTGTTCCCCGATTTTGCTGCTGATGTCCGAGGAAGAATACTCCTTGGTATCGATGCATCGAATCATCCCTATTTGGGCTGAGTTAGGAGTTCGTTTTATCGTTCGGGTGGAGATTCGCAAGGGAACAGTTTGCGGCTTTCCCCCAGTTTGTGTGAGCACCGGTTGCTTGGAATCAAAATGCAAATGTGCGCCCACCGCCATCGCCCAAGGTAATTCTAACAACATAGAATAGGAACGCACATCTATTACTAGTGCGTTAACAAGGACGTGTACTCGTCCGACCTTCACAGCTACATTCTCAATAACACCCACGATGTTCATTGCTTCCTCGTCGGCAGAGACATAGTTATCTTTGCCAGATTGAGGAAGAATGGATCCAAGTCGTCCCGTCTTTCTAACAGTGTCTAATGATATGGCCATTGCAGAAGACCCTGTGTCGATAAGGGCGTTAAACGGTTTGCTCCAAACTTCACAATCACATTCCGCGCTCTTCCACAACACCGGCCGAGCTCGTACGAAGTGATCCTTCTTGGCTAAAGAGATCGCAGCTACTCGTGCTGCTTCGGGTTCACCCGTTTCAGGTTCTGGTGGCGCAACATCCTCGTTTTCCTCCTTTTTTTTTAACAATCGCTGTACGCGCTGGTACGTGAAGCGCTTTTGATTCTTCTAACATTGTTGTAACGGTTTGTCGTTTGCAGCTTCAGATATGGTGAGCAAGTGTCCCACCGGGATCGGAACACTGCTTGAGCGCTCGTAACACATCGATTTCGCCCGTCCTAAACTGTGGACCGGGATTAGAATCGCGATCGACCCATTCAAGATCATCAGGGGCCGATCGGATCGCCCCAATCATGTCTGCTAGGTGAAGATACTCGAGTGGATCGACCACGTCAACAACATCAGAGGAAGAAGATCCCGATGTTGACGCTATTGCCGTTGAGAGGGAAGGCTGCTCATATGCAACGAGTTCTCCTCCTTGGGCCGTGTCCATCAATGCGGCCATTCGTCCTTGGTTTAGAGCAACAAGGGCCGCAGCCGGCGGGGGTTGATTACGTTTTGGTTGCGGACAGTCCCGGGCAAAATGTCCGGACTGTTTGCAGTTAAAACACTCGATCTTTCCTGCTGGATTAGCCAGGTGAGGGAACTGTGGTGGATAGTCAGGTGCAGGCGGGGCAGGCAAGAGAGGAAAGGGGGCGGGGGCAAGTCGAGCAGGGGCTGGGTTGGGCTTAATTAGCCTGCTCATTATTTGTTCCATCCGCTCCATGTGAGCGGCCTGCATTTGAATCAAGTTGCTCATCCATTCGGACTGCTTGGTAGTGGCCGTATGGATCATTTGGGCGAGATGTAAGTTGGTTACGGTCGGCGAAGGGGGTTCGTGAGAGATTCCGCTCCTAACTGCCGTTATCGGTTGATTCGTTGGGGGAGAGGAAGAGGAAACAGGCGGGACATCGGAAGCGATCCCGTTGGGAAGGTCATGGTCGAGGCGGGGATAAAACCGTTCTACTGCCCTCAGCCACGATCACCTTTTAGCCGCTACATTCTGTATGGTATCTGTAATATCTTTATCTCCCTGACTGATATATTTTTTTGTATCAGCCAAGTCCAGTTCCAATGCTTTAGCGATGATAGCAGATAGCTGGTGTGTCTTCGGCGGGACCTTTTTCTGTAACTTCCCTTTCAATGTCGGACTTCGTAGATGATCAATGAACAAATCTCGAGTGGACTTCTCGTCTCGCCCAAATTTGTCCAACGTGGTTTGAAATCGATCCACGAAATCGGGCAGCAATTCCCCTGGTCCTTGTGGCCGAGTTTTGGGCACGTACCAGGCGGCATATTCACTGACCGTATCGAATCGAGCCAAGAATGCTTGTTTGAAAGTATTCCAATCTACCCACGCGTGCTTCCTAAACCAATCATGCGTCGTATTTCGAAGCAGCAAGGTAAGAACGCGGGGAAGGTCACCCGCGCTGTATCCTTGAGCCTCAACGACTTCCGCTCAAGCTTCGGGGTGGGTATGATTAGGGAAGAAGGGGAAGGGGGCGGGAATGCTAACCACTACCCTATTACCGTCCACCATTGGTATAGCTGGTATAGCAGCACCAGATATAGATCTGGTCACTGGACGATCTCGGCGAGCGGGTGGGGGACTTCTTCTTCTACCTCTCGCCAGTTCGACTTACTATCATCAGAACCGACACATGTCGGCTCCGATACCAACCTCACTCCCTGTGCTGTCTTTCGTTCGGAATGCTAGATGTGCGAAAAGAAGCCCAGAAAAACAGCAAGATGGGGTGTGCCAAGGATTTTTGGAAATTGAGTGTGGGGACACAGACGGAACTGAAATCCCCCGTGTCGGTCCGATGAAGTAAGTCGGTTGCTTTCGCGCGTTGCGGAATGCGCGTGCGGGCACGGCTCGAAAAGAGAAAAATCCAAATTCTTCCCACCGTGCTACGACCCGTCGTTTAGAGCGGAAGGGTTTCAGCACTCTTCGCATGTCTCGTTTTCGTATCAAATCCCGTCATCGCTCGCTGGTCAGTTCTGAGTCTGATGTGGAGGGTCTCAGCCCCGTGGCTCTTTCCTTATGCTCGTCCTCACTCCGTATTCGATAGTGGAAGCCCTTTGCTTCGTAGCGATCGAAACGCTGGCACTCTGTGCACAGGGTTCGAGGCCAATGGGGCGCCACTGCCGTCCACGGAATGACGATCAGCTCGTTAAAGGGGAGCAATATTGAGTAGGGTGAAAAGTGCGTGTCGATAATAACAAACCTAGTCTCTACGAACCCAAAACAACGGTTTGCCAGAGGGAAGTAGTATCGCCCGCCGATCTGTGCGACAACTTCTCGTACGTCCCACTCGCATACATGTGTCCTTTCCTCATTGTAAGGAAAAGGTCGTGTTGATACGGGAGGTACGGGAGGCTGACGCCCGATCGAAGGGTGCTTGTCAGTCCACATGTCAATCAATTGCAAAAACTCCGAGACGTCATCAAGGAGAAACACTCGTGCAATCTCCAATCAATCCTTTTCAACACGAGGGAGAGAGAAAAAACACGCATCAGCTCGATCATGCATGTAGCTGAGGGACCGACCCGTGACTCAGGTTCCCGTAAACCTCCGTGGTGTTGATCCCAGGCGCCTTATTTATCGAGGTTGCCCTGTAGATCAGCTGCAGATGTCGTGCAACATAAGGCAGATGGCATGCGCAGTGCATTCAGAACTACAAATCTAAACAGTCTTGCATTCTCGGACAAAATCCCGACAACAATTGTCTAATCAACGCAAAAAGACGCGTACCTCCATACATACATTCACTGTGGAAGGTGCGAAAATGAGATATGCACAGGGATAAAAGATGGATCGCCGAATAATACACACGCATCCACCGTTCACAAGACAAGAAAACGGGGTTCTTGCATAGGGGAACTACCCAGGAAACTAATGGAAGAGTTCCGGAAGAAGTTCTTTCACACAGGAACAACATGCAGACTCATTCCCATTTGAAAGAGAGACAAACATCGAGACGCATCATCATTCAAAGATAGAGGAGAGAGAGGGAGACGAGGGAGGAATGTCGAGATAGGAGGGGACAAGATCCGAAAAGAGGAAGTTTGGCGTTGCCGCCGTACACTTTTTCCAGAGATAAAGATTCGCAACGACAAAGATACATTCGCCGTTAATTCCAACATGGCCCCTGACCAATCACTCACTCAACTCCAATCATCGATCCTCATACCCGCACCGACGATCCCCGCCGCCGCGTGCTAACTTCCACCACTGCGATCGTCACCCCGCCGACATGAACTCGACGCGGTTCGCCCAGATCCCACAGTCCGTCTTGGCGATAAAGCACACAACCGGCCAGCCTATCGTCAGCCCGACAGGACTTTCTGACTCGCACCAAACACTCTATCTAGCCACTGCTTCCCGGAAGCTGGCTTGAGAGTCGAGAACGTAAGAGAGCTTTGCGGGCGCGTTTGCGGAATTTATAGTGGCGAGGAGGGAGACAAGGGAGAGAGAAGGCAGGGGGAAAGCCGAGGTGTAAGGAGAGAAGCAGGAGGAGAAGACTTGGCGAGAAGCGCGCTATAGAAGCCATGTTGATTCTTCGGGACTCAGCGATTGGCCAATCAAACTCGTCGCGCAATAGGAAGATCGTACCGTACGCCGCGTCTGATTGGTGGCCGAGAGTAATCGAAGGATCGACCGGACTTCGCAAGCTTTGCTCGAAGGGCGAGAGAAGAAAAAGGTGCGAGAAGTAGCGCAAGATTCAGATGGTCAAGAAAGGGGAAATGGGCGCGCAAAAAGTTGAGCGGGAGAGAGAAAGAGAGGGAGAAAAACAGTTACGAGGAGAGAGGAAGAGGAGGGGGAAGGAAAAAGGAGCGCGGGAGAGAGCGATGCGGGGGACAGAGAGGAAAGAGCTTTGCATGCGTGGCGTCGTCAAAAAAAAAAAAAAAGACACCGAAATAGTTACAACTTGCCTACATCCTAAACCAATTCAAAATTGAAATCACCATATCCGCGTGCGGAAGAGTGACGCGGGAAAAGAAAGTCCTACGCCTATTCGCATCCCCACAAAATTCCGAGAGTTTTCCCCAACGCGACCGAGAACGTTCACACACAAAAAGGACACGTCGAAGTTCCGCTTATCCCGGAATACCCAATTGCCGGGCCCAATTCCCAGTGCGCTCGCTAAGGCGCGTGTAAATTCCGATGCATTTCCTGACGTGCAAAAAGAAAAAAGCAGAACCGAAGAATCACAAAAGCTTCCGGAAGATGGGGGCTCGAAACGCGGCACCCGAAATCAAGAAAAACGAAACGGGGTCTTTATGGGGTGGGTATGATACAAGCGAAAAGGGTACGAAAGATAGCACGGGTTCGGGAAGTAGTTCGTCACAACCGCCCCAGGCCTTCCTCAGCTCAATAAAGTGAGAGAGTTTAAGAGGTACGGCCTCACAAACCTGCAACCCATAAGGGTGGAGTGGGGAAGCCAAAATGGGTGGAGCCTGGGGGACGATGGGACTGCCATTGAAGACTTGTGTATCGATAAAGCAGCTTGGGGCTGGAAGGTGAATGAGGAGGAATGGTGGAACTTGGAGAAGGGTGAAGAAGCGATTGCTCATAGACAGCATGAAAGAGATCGCTCAATAGGTAAGTATCTGGCAGACAAGTGGGAAAGAGTCTGCCCACACTTGGCCCCACCGAGCGAGAAAGACCTCCAGAGGGGGTGGTCAACTCCCAAGTCTCCCATCACAAAAGCTCGCCTCCCTGCTCTGGCTTCAATCCCATCAAGCAGTACCGGTAGCCAGATGGTTGAGGAAGAGGGGAATGGCAGTCAGAGAAGCATGCGACAGATGCAACTGGGTGTTTGAAACACAACACCATCTGTGGTGGGCGTGCCAAAAATCAAGAAGGTGGTGGGATTGGTGGTTTAGACACTGGAAGAAGTGGTCTGGAAGGTCAGACATGACTGGAGAGCGTTGGGTGATCTTGGGAATCCTGCCAGAAAATTTGAAGATTGAGGAAGGATGGGGGTACGCAGCGCAAGTATGCAGGGCTGTGCTGATGTGGATGATCTGGACTGATCGAAATGATCAAAGGTTCAAGGGTCAGAGTATGCCAGAAGCCCAGGCAGAGAATCTGTTTCGCAAGTTACTCCAAAACGAGATCCGAGCAGACTTGAGGAGGAAAGCAAGGAGCGGAAAGGGAAGAGAGGGCTTGAGATGGTTTCGAAATACATGGACCCTGAACGAGTCCGTGGTGTGGGTGTCAGAGGATGGTCGGCTGCGCTTCTCCAACTGGTGGAATAAAGGTGTGCAAGAGCCTGGCTGAGTAGTATGCAGTAGGGAGCGTGGAGTGTATGGTCTTCCTTGGGGTGGATTCTTTCCTGCGAACCAGGACACTCGGTTCCTATAGGTGGCCAACTGAGGCCACGTTGGGTAGGGAGGGAGGAGAGTGTCAGGATCTATAACGGAACAATAGTTCGGCTCGGTCGGAATAGGCCGGGTTCAGACGGTGGTAGGATAGGTCTGTGGATTAGTAGATAGTTCGAGGCTAGTAGTAGCGTAGTAGGTAGGGTAGATAAGTAAAAGCAGGGCCGGAGTGAGATACGGTGGAGCGTGAGTTGTGGCAATTGTTGTATTCCTACAAGTTCTGTTTTTTTTTATCAACAGATTCAGGTAATTTTCCACTCGTGTTGAGGCATTTCATTTCGCAGGTTGAAGCCTGTAATCTAAACTGGCTGATGCTGCCAGGATAACTCCGGGGACCAAGTCCCACTTGCAGCGGTTTAGTCCTCAGTTCGGGAACCTGTGTTTTGTCCGACACGTTTCCTGACCGCTGATTGACATTGATCGTAGGGCGCATGGTCGGTTATGTTTTCTTCGAACGGAATGGATTGAATGTTGCTATGTAGCGGTTTCCCATTGGCTGTTATAGTCGGAATGAGCTCTTTCACTCGCAGGGAACGGTCCTCGTCCGTAGCCTGACCCCAGTCGGGCTAGACGTGGGAACCGTCCATCGTCTTGTATTTCCACAGAAACTAAAAGTTTTTCCCGACAATGCCGCTGCCATAGCCTTGGTTACCAGACTGAACGGCCTTTCATCATTACTGTCATTAAGCACGTTCAAATCCTGATATTTTTCGCGATTTAACCCGCCGTTTGTCGACCAGCCGCACATTGCCACACGAAGTCACACAGTGTCGTGCAGTACTGGCTACGGGAACTAAACCGCTGCAAGTGGGACTTGGTCCCGGGTGGAATTGTGAGGTCCCCGGCCTCGAAGTTGATTTGGAATATAAAGGTATCTGGAAAAAAAAAAAAAAGTATTTTTAAATCACGATTTCGGGATTAGGGTGCACTTGAGACTCTTTATGCAGCGGTGACGCACACTTGAAACTTGAAACTTGAAACTTCAACTTGAAACTTCAAGTTTCAAGTGTAGTGCAGCGAGGCCATCTCTTTCGATGCAATAGCTCCGTTTTTGAAATCTTGGCCGTGTGGAAGGCGAGCAGTAAATGCTTACGCATTAACAGTTTTCATCCGATGGCGGAGGGACTGCATATTGTACAGAGGCCACCACCAGTCAATCAAGGACGGCCGGTACGTGGCATCACCTGTGTAATCAATTCTCGGGCGAGATCAGGGTATCTTCCGCGCGAAATCAGTGCGAGATCAGAGTGTTTTTCGCGTGACGAACGCGATGTGCCGATCCTCTCTGTTTGTGGTTCTACCCGTCATGCCCTCCTTGGTGTACAACCGATGATCGGTTCTCTGCGCGACGCTCTGTTTCTGCTGCTTTCGGATGGTTGCGGTGAACTGTGAAGGTGATACGCCGCTCCGGCCGTCGCAATTGCAGTCAGCTGCATTCAAAAAGTTAGTGTGAGTGTGTCCTCATTTCATCCATTTACGTCGTCGGTGATGTTGTTGGTTTGGGATTCAGTTCCTGTTCGCGCTTCAGCTCCTCGATGTCCTAGCCCTTGCCATGGCGGGTGATACACTGACTACTGTCGACATTCTTCTCGCGCCGATTCCATTACGTGCATGCTGCATATCATTTAGAGCATACTCTCACTGTCTTTTATGACTGATCGAGAATGCGACCGCAGCTGGATGTATCTGACCGTAATTACGTCAGAAATCTGTAGAAAAGTCCTAGTTTGAGTATGCTCTCATTCTGTTTATTTCTTATAGAGTTTCCATCACGCGATTACTGGATATCATGATTCTGTTAATGTGCTTTTCCTCCAGCTTTTCTTGCCACCGTCTTCAGCCGAATAGAATGCCCTGTAATCATAGCCGCATTTGGGCAGCTTTTGGTCTAGATACAACGATAATGACGGGGTGGGCGTTCTATTCGGGTGAAGTCACGGGAAAAAAAAAAAGAAGGGATTAACTAACGAGAAATTGCTTCATTGGTCCATGCGGGGTGCAAGGACGGCAAAGAGGCTTTGGTAATGGTATGTTTAGTCACGGGTAAAAAAGAAAGGATGAACTAGGTCCATGTGGTATGTTTAGTCACGGGGAAAAGGGAAAGGATGAACTATCGCGAGAGATTGCTGCACTGGTCCATGCGGGGGAAAGTACGGGAAAGGTGCTTTGATTATGGTATGTTTCCGTTGCAGTTACCCTCGCACTCGGGGCAATGACGGCAACTGTATCCCGCACTGGTGAATGACGACAGGTGTTAGGGGATGACATGCGGCTGACCGTGCGCCTAGGACGGCAGCACCTTTGGTGATGGTTGGAGAGAGAGAGAGAGAGAGAGAGAGAGAGAGAGAGAGAGAGAGAGAGAGAGAGAGAGAGAGAGAGAGAGAGAGAGAGAGAGAGANGAGAGAGAGAGAGAGAGAGAGAGAGAGAGAGAGAGAGAGAGTGAGAGAGAGAGGGGGGGGGGGTTGCTGGCGGCCAGTGGTTGGTTGTTCCATGCTGAATCTGGTATGCTCATTTGGGCTTGCGTGGGGAATTTGATGTTGTCACCCGATGATTGCAGCCGCAATGAGAGGATGCGGAAGCGCGGTTTGTATGTAGGGACCAGCGGCTTCTAGGCCTCTGCGAGGAGTAGCCGGAGAGAGGTCCGAGGAATGACCGAGATGTGTGCAATGGAGCCTTTTCGCCCGGTGTCTTTCTTGGGGTGGTTCGAACCATTCGGAGCCTCTTTGGAGCGGAAGGGGGAGCACCACAACAAAAGCACTGCAGGACGATCGGATCGAAATTCGAGCGGCAGTCGATGTCCGCCTCTCTGTGATTGGTTTTCAACCCCGTCCATTGGAGGTGGGGGAAGGAGATCGACTAGCCTTGGTGATGGGATTGTCGGCGAGATAGCAGGGGGGGGAGGGGGAGGAGGAGGAGGAGGAGGAGGAGGAGGAGGAGGCGTGTCTCGCCGAATGTCAATTTGCGGAACGGGGAATCGGGCGGAAAGTGGAGGTGGGCAATGGGGAGGTTCAGGAGCTGACAGCGGGTTTTACTACTCTCTATCAGAGGGAATGGAGATGGTAGGGATCGAGGGGGATGGAGATAGAGAGGAGGAAGTGATGTGGGGACGGAGGAGGAAGGCGAGGAGCAGCAGGGGAACCGGATCGGGATATGGATATGAAGGGCACGATGAGGAGCTATTCATTAGTGGGAGGAGCGTTATTTGGAGCGCGGGAAATCGCATTCGAAAGCGGTTCAGAACGTCTTCTGCCGTCTTGCAAGCAGAGTGGTGTCATGTTGGCGAGGGTTCGAGACCATGCTTGTGCCTCCTCCATGTCGACTCGCTGACAACGTACAGCCATTTTGGCTCATCGCACGCGCTGCCCCTCCCCTGCGCTCCGCGCGCGTTGTGGGCCATTCCCGAAGGGCTCTTGTTGCAGTGTGCGCCGGCGCCTGTGCTGCAGCAAACCTCCCTGATGCCTTACGGTTCGGGAGGGAGGCCGCGGTCGACTACCATCCCTTTCAGTCGGGATCGGGATCAAATCACTCCGCCGTCGTCCTCGTCAGCTGGGGGAGCGGGGGGCAGGGAGAGAGTGCAACAACAGCATCTGCACCGGAAGCAGAGCCTGGGCGGTGCGGGAACACCCTTCTTGGAGACCTTGGGGGGAGGGGCAGGTCTGGGTAATGTTGCCGGAGGTGGAGGAGGGGGGAGCGGTATGGCGATGTTGACAGAGAAGTCGCCCGTGCTTTACTCCCTCATCCACCCTCTTGAGGAGTTTCAGCCGGTTCTGATGGCCGACGGTAACTGTCCGGAAGTGTGGGTGGGGCAAGGAGACGTGCTTTCAGATCCCGACGATTGTGTTGTCTGGACCTCCAGATGGCTACCGCTTATTATCACCTACCACTTGGGATACCGACGGCACAGCATTTGGCGTTTGCGTTCATTCAAGGACGATTTACGCGGGGGTATGGGCATGTCATTGTCCTCACCTTTCTCGATGGAAAGTACACATGGGAGGCGTGGGGGCCAGGTCGGAGAAGGACTGGGAGGACGAGGAGGAGGCGGCGGCGGCGCATGGGAAACTAACTCCGCCAGGCTGAGCGATCTTGACGCCCCCACGTGTATGGCGATCCAGCATTTATGGTGCGATGGTGGGGAGGTGGCGCGGGGGTCGCAATTTATGGCGGCAACTGATGAGTCTGGTGCTATTCTGCTTTGCTTCCTGATTGCCGAGCAGCGATTGCTGCGCGCCGTTCGAGTAACCATGGAGGAGGATAACGACGATGAGAGTGATGACAACGATAGGGCGGCGAGTGGTGGTGGAGGAGTTTCTCAATCGGACGGGCACTGCGTTCGTCATGGAAGGAAAGAGGGCAAAGACCACATCGATCGAGCGAGCCTGGCCTTCTCTCTGCCAGCTATGGCTGCGACGCCTGTTATCAGTTCTCGAACCACACCCACATCTCGCGGCCTCAGGCAGTACGATCTATTGGTCCTTGGAGTGGACGGGAAGTTGAGATTGCATGTAGGAGAACATCCAATTTGTATTCTCTATATGCCGGACTCGCTCGGCTTGGCATCAGATATCAGCAGGGGAGGAGAAGTAGGTGAAGGGGGTGAAGAGCGCACCACTTCGAAGATCAAGACCGATGAACGAATGGTCGATGGCATCGGTGGTGTAGGTTCGTTTGCTTTTGCGGAACCTGAAGCTCAATCACCCACCGCAGTGGTGGGAGGAGGAGGAGGAGTAGGAGGTGACGGAGCGTTTGCCTCTCCGCCCGACCTCGCGGCTTGGGATTTGCCTCCGTCTGGTGGTGCAGCGGCAATTGTTGGGATCCGGGATGCAGTGGAGGACAGAGTTAATCTGGTGCTTTCCGACGGATCCGTCTGCCGGTGTTCAGTGAGCATTGCTCCCTCCTCGACGCTGGTGTCGACCTCGATGGCTGCGTTGTCCGTGTGCTTGGAGAGGACGGTGTATCGAACCCTGGTGCGCGCATTCGTAGCTCGTATGGTGGCGATCGGAGGAAGGGATCTTCTGGGAGAACGTCGACGAGTATCACATGAAGGCCCCGAGTGTGCGGAGAGAGACGGCCGCTCTGGAAGTGACGTGTCAGATAGCGAATGGCTAGCCTTTTCGGAGATGATAGAGAGTTGCTGCTTGAAGTACCGGGGAGGGGGTGAAGACGGCGAAGTGGATTGTAAACAGAGCGGCAATGGGAAGGGGGGAGGTTGTGGTGGTGGTGGTGGAGGGGGAGAGGGAGTGGAACGAAGCGCTTGGGAGTTTCTATGCCACAGCGAGATGCACGCTCGAGTGAGGGCGCGTTGCCTCTTGTCTGCCTTCTCATTGCCTAACGATAGTAGAATAAACAAAGAGCGAAGCTGCACTGTCGTGGAGTGCGAGAGAGAGCAGTTGAGCGCGCGAGAGAAGGAGCGAAGCCGCACTGTCGTCGGCGCCGCTGCCTATGGTGGAGAGGTGCGGTCTTCTTCTTCTGAGGGGTTGCCGCCCCCGTGTAACTTGGGGGGATTAGTAGATCGCGAGTGTCTTAGAGAGATTTTACTGATCCTGCACGCGGTATATGAAGACTTCAAGCTGGACACTTTGAAATGGTCGGTGTTGCACCGTCTTGCGGCTCTCTTGGCAAAGGTCGCCCTAGCTCTGGACGAGACGGATCATGTGGACCATTACGCGCGTGACTTTCCAGCTGTGGTTATGCCCGTGTTAGAGAGTGCATTTGGGAGCGATAGGTGGGTAAGGGAAGCCGGACGGCCACCGTCGCCTTCGTCGACGCCACAGAGGAGCTTGTCTTCATCATCGGCAGCAGTATCCCCTCCTCCACAGCCGCCGTCTCTAGGGTCGCCCGCGCTCCCCAGGGCCCCAACAGACATCCTTCGCCTGGTGCTGGCTAGGATGCCCCAGAGGAAGGACAGGTTCCTGTGTACTCCGTCTCTGACGGCGGCATTGGCGCCGGCATCCAGCGGCCGGAAGGCGGCTGGAAAGGAAACGGGAATGAACGCGTGGGCTTGGCGATTACCGCAGAAGTTGTTGGGAAACGGGTGGATAGACTGCTTGGCGTGGTCGAGAAAGGTGATGGCTTTCTACTCAATCTTGGCCGGAAATCACCCACCTGCTTCGGATATGAACGGATCGTCGTCCAGGCTGCAGATCAAGGTCGCAGCAGGGACGGCCGAGAATGCCGCCCAGCGGATGGTGCTGGCGATGGTGGGGGAGAGATTTCGGCTGGCGGATCTTGATCGGTTGCCGTTCGGCGTAGCGCTTCCGCTGAGGCACGCGCTTCAGACGTGCAGAGAGGCGCCACCGGCGGATTGGCCGGCATGGGGGTACGTGCTGGTGGGGAGGGAGGACTTGGCGTCTGGATTTCGACAGACGAAGGTGGGAGGTGGTCGCGTGGGAGAAGGGGAGATGATGGAGGGAGGAAGCACGAGGAAGAAAGGTGGGCGCAGCAGCCACTTGAAGGCGGTGGCGGGAGCGGAGGAGGAGAACTGGACGGCAGCCATGGATACGGTAGCGTTGGAAGAGGTGTCATCGGCAGCGCCATACGCGCTCCACCTGCGGCCGGTGCTAACGGGTGCTAGGTCTGGGTGCGGCGCAGACGAGGACGTGGGATCGGCGGGGGGCCAGTTCGGCGGAGGTGGGGTGCCAGCGGCTGGGTTAGGAGGTTCTGTTCTGCTGCGGGGTGGCGTCGACGGCGCTGGAGTGGGAGCGTTGGGAGCAACGGCCGCGGGGAGAGGGGGAATTGGTGGAGCGGGTTCGAGTAAGGACGGAAAGGGAGGCGATGGGATGGAAAACATGTGCGGAGATGGGGGATCGAACCTTCGCTTCGGGCGAGATCTGCGCCTGAATGAAGTGCGCCGCTTGCTGGCTTCTTCCAGCCCTGTCACTCTGCGAATGCCTGCCAGCCCTGACGTCAGTGATCCTGAGGTCATGGTTCAGCAGCAGACACTCCTCTGGCATATTGCGCAGAGGACGACGGCGCTGCCGATCGGTAGAGGAGCGTTCACGCTCGGAACTTCCCACCCTTTGCTGACGGAAGCGGTCCCCATCCCGCCTCTGGTTCTGTCGGGACGGCTGCCCACTCAATACAACGCTACTGTGAATCTGGACACCATGCTGTCCGGAAACATGTCAGATCTGACATCGTGGCCGGAGTTCCACAACGGGGTGTCGGCGGGTCTACGGCTGGCACCCGGGCAGGCGAAGATTACTCGCACCTGGATCGTCTACAACAAGCCGGAGGAGGCGAGCTTCTCTCATGCCGGTCTGTTGATGGCACTGGGTTTGCAGAGACACCTCGGGGTGCTGGCTGCCACGGATGTGTACAGGTACCTGGCTCAAGAAGATGACGCCACCACGGTTGGAGTGCTGCTCGGCATGGCGGCGGCCAGGTGCGGAAGCATGGACGTTGCCATCTCACGAATGCTCTATCTCCACATTCCTGCGAGACATCCGCCTTCGTTTCCGGAGCTGGAGCTGTCAACTCTGGTGCAATCCGCGGCGCTAATGGCTGTCGGGCTTCTTTATCAGGGTTCAGCGCATCGGCTGACGACGGAGATTTTGCTAGCGGAGATCGGGAGGAAGCCGGGCCTGGACAATGCTCTCGACCGGGAAGGGTATGCATTGGCCGCGGGGCTGGCCCTAGGATTGGTGACTCTGGGAAGAGGGAGGGATGCCGTGGGTCTGGCCGATCTTCAGATCGAGGATCGGCTCGGTCATTATCTTTGTGGTGGATCGGAGCCGTACAACGATCGCCAGCGACGCACGTCTCGAGTAGGAGGATCGGCGGTAATGGGAAGACAGCAGCAGGACGAGGCGTCGCAGGGAGGTCAGGTTATGGAAGGCACCATGGTGAATCTAGACGTGACGGCGCCCGGTGCCACGTTGGCGCTGGCTTTGATGTTCCTGAAGACAAACTGTGAGGCCGTGGCTGCCAGGCTGTCCATCCCTGACACTCATTTCGCTCTCGAGTACGTCCGACCAGATTTCATCTTGTTGCGTCTGGTCGCAAGGAGCCTCATCATGTGGGACAGCATTCGGCCCACCGAGGAGTGGGTTCAGTCCCAGCTCCCGGCGATCGTTTCCTCGGCGATGAGGCAGCGAGTTGCGTTCGGGCATTCCTTTGGCGTGGGGATTGGAACGCGAGCTGTTACTAGTTCCTCGGGGGAAGGTGGTGGTGTGGCGGGAGTAACAATTGCTGCAGGAGCAGCAACGGACGCCGGCGAATTGATGGGAGGAGGAGGAGGAGGAGGGGGTCTTGGGTGTGGCGATGTCGACATGGAAGCCCTTGTACAAGCACATATCAACATTTTGGCGGGGGCGTGTATGGCCATCGGCTTGCGCTTCGCCGGGACGGCGCACTCCGGTGCTCAGGAGCTTCTCTACCGCTACGCTGTTTACTTCATGCACGAAAAGCGCCAGGCCGCGTCGTCTGGAATCGGCAGTCCCGATGAACGACGAAATGGGCGCGTAGATCGGGGGACTCTGGAAACCTGCATCGACGTGGCAGCGCTGTCTCTGTCTGTCGTTATGGCGGGAACTGGACACTTGGGAACTTTTCGTCTTCTTCGTCACCTGCGGAAGCGTATGGACACGGACGGAGCGATCACCTACGGCAATCACATGGCTATCGGGATGGCGACTGGGTTCCTGTTCATGGGAGGAGGCTCGCGAACCTTTGCCACGCACAATTTGGCGATTGCCGCGCTGCTGATATCTCTTTACCCGCGGTTCCCCCAGTCGCCGCCGGATCACAGGTGCCATTTGCAAGCGTTTCGTCATCTGTACGTGTTGGCGACGCAGGAGAGATGCGTAGAGACCGTGGATGTGGACACTTGTCTGCCTGTCTACGCGCCGCTCGAGGTGATGGTCAGAGAGTCGGCCGTGTACGGTGAGACCTCCTTCTGCCGTGTTACCCCGTGCATCCTTCCGGAGCGCTCGCAGCTGAAGAGAGTGCGCATTTGTGGTCCCAGGTACTGGCCTCAGACGCTCGATGTGTCTCCGTCCGGGGAGCTTGCTGTTGGCGGGCTGGGTGGTGGGGTTGCCGGCGGGGGAAGCGGGCCGCTGGGCTCGCGCGTGATCTACGTCAAGCGTAAGGTCGGCTCTCGGCCGTACGCCGATGACCCGATTGGCTGTCGATCTCTCCTCTCTCGCGCACTGATGGAAGGCGCGAGCTCTGGCGAGAGCGATGATCGTCAGCGAAGAGGAGGTGGAGGTGTTCCGCTTGGCGGGAAAGGGATGGAAGGTCAGAAGCAGCTGGAGCTTGTCAGCACTTTCTCTGCTGACCCGTCAATAATTGCGTTTGCGCAGCTTTTCTGTTCGTCGTCCAGTTACACGGACGATGGGAAAGGTGGTTGTGGGGGGGAGTTCGCCACCTTCTGTTCGCGTGCACTGCACGAGTGTGTGACAGGGGACAAACCGGCATTCCTCCTCTCCTACCTCGGACTTTATGCCGCCGTGCAGGAGCTCGTGGAAGTGGTAACCGGTCGAACCACGTGCTCCAGTCTTCACGGCTCGTACACTCTCCAGATCTGGAACCTTAAGCATGCGCTGGCATACTGCCAGTCTGTTGGGAGAGGCGCTGGCCTTCTTGGAGTGGGTGCAGGGGGAGGAGGAGGAGGAGGAGGGGCAATCACTTCTACTGTATTCGGACGTGAAGAGCTACGCTTCGACGAGTCGTTGTTGCAATGTAATTTCGTCGAGGGACTGGCTAAACGTGTGGAGGAGATTCTAGACTCGCTCAACTTCGAAGGACCATCCCCGTTTTTCCTTACTGGAGGCGCAGGCGGGAAGGACAGTAGCAGCATGAGCAGCGGGAGTTCGTCTTCTTCTCTGCTTCGGCCCCTTCTGCTCGAGTATGCTACATCTCGAAGCCTGGCCGCCGTTAATCTCTCCCTGTATCGTGGTGGGATGGAGATAGATCTGCCTCCCATTGCCCAAGGTTCGGATATAGCAAACACTCGATCGCGGGTCTGTGCGCTCCTGGCAGGCTACCTCGTCTTCTTCGACATCCCGAAAGCTAGCTTGCTTGCGCACTCGCTGGAAGAAATGAAGGAAGTGATGGGACAGCGATGGTGGCAGCAGCACATGCGTGCTGCTGTGTCTCGCGAGGAGGCATCGTCCTCTGATATGCCAGCGGGAGATTCTTCGCCGCTGCGGGGAAGCGGGCATACTGGCGCGGCATTAGCGTGCAGCTCGCGAGAATATGGCGGGAAGGGAGTAGCGGTGGATGAAGGAGGCGGAGGGGGTAGAATCCAAAGTGATGAAGGCTCCGACGCTTTATCTTGCTTGTTATCATCAGCTTCATCGCGGGATAGCCTCAGCTTGGCGGTATTAGCCCTTCCTATTTTGGCGATGCTCCTCCCGGAGGCACCAACGTCCGCCCTACTACGCATCAGCGCCTGTCTCTCACAGGCCTCTACGTAGGTTAGAGACGCACAGGTCGAAAGTACTACTCTGATCGTGAAGCTTCCCGCTCGCTTCTCGTCTCTTGCTTTTCGTGTTTTGCTCTGCCACAGTCAGTCAATCCCGAACTGTTGAAGATCCCTCAACGTCTCCTCCCAATTCATGCAATCAATGGCTGATGGCGAAGGCAAGAAGGTTGTAGGCCCGAGGACGAGTACACATCAACCACCCAATGAAGCAATTGCTCGTTTTCTCGTGGCTAAGATGATTATATCCTGTGGAGAAGGCAGCGGAAGGTAGGGATTGCTCGTAAGAGGGAGAGCGACAAAAGGTGTGTGGGTGATGGTGTTGTGCTGGCGATAAGGAGAACACAATGTGTCACATGAAGCGAAAGCGTGGTTGTAGGACAGAGCATTGATTCTGTATATCGAGAAGAGAAGGAAGAATCACGGGCAGAAGGGGAACTGGCGAGAAGGGAGGACTGGGGAATGGATTGCGAAGGAATGGCCAAGTGGATGGAGAGAGATGACTTTTTGGGTTATCAATTCGTTCACTGAGTTGGATCGTCACAGAGCATCTTTTGATAACGAAATTTGGTGCGGCTAATGAATGATCTCTGGAAACATCTATCGAGAGGAGGCCTCCAGGAAAAGGTTTTCTGAAAGGATAGTCGATGTTTGGGGTGGAAAATAGAGTTGATCTGGGTGGTCTCAAGTCACAGGCTCTGGCACAGGAAGCAACATCGCCAACGGGTTCATGGATGATTAGTGGTGATACCAGGCCAAATTGTTACAATTTGTGCCCTACCTATGGAAGAAAACAGTACTGGATGGGCAATGCGGTTATAGCTGACATGGCCATTTTCTTGCGGGGGTGCTGGCGAACCACTCAAGGAGGAGAGCATATAAGAAGAGGGAGTGATTCATGGTTATGGTGGGGTGGCTTTCTACGCAGCAGCCACACATATTGAGAACAAGATCATTGTAGGGAAATACTAACACCAGCACTTTGCTCGATGCATGTGACCGCAATACGGTTACATTTCGTGGAGAATGTCCCATGTGTGAGTATGCTCTTCCCTGTTGATGACGGAATCAAGGACAGCTATCTGATGGAGCGAGTGGATTGTGTTTGGGGGTGCCTTCGCATTCCGCACAGCAGGTGCATGTTTACATAGGGTACGATTTGATAACCCCGGGCCATCGGTATTACAGCCGCATACGTTGAGTGCAATCTTTTTTGACACGGGCTTGCGTTGCGGACAATCTTCTGGCATCACGGATAATGTATGTCAATGACGATTTTGACACGTCTTTGGAGATCTATTTGCGTCAGGTCAGTGATGTACCCATCTTTCAACTATGGCAGAACTAGTTACCCTTTCCCTCCCCTTTCATTGTTATTGTCCTTTGGCCATTCAGAACAGGAGACTACCGTGCCTGAATGTGGTCATAAAGGCGGTCCTATGTGGCTCGTGGCTGTCCTGATGTGAACTTGTGCTTAGGGGCTCCTTGAATGAAGAATCGCTGCACTCTCAGAGCCATCCATCTTTGTGACTTGGACAATATGGAAATAGGAAGGGACTCCCAAAGATGCCCTGACAAAATGCCTCACCTTCCTCCTCCTCCTTTCTGTTTTGACCAGTGACAACAAGAGTGTGCAATCTTGTCCCTTCTGTCGCTCTCATCTCTCCTCTGTCTTATACCTGTAGCTCCCCCTCTCTTCTGTCCAACAGAAGTCTGTCTTGTAGCCTCTGTAGCTCTCCTCTCTCCTCTGTTTGAAGACATCCTGACGAAATATGTCACCTTTGTCAAGAAGCCAGGTGGGCATCAGCAAGTGATCAGCGTTTACTTCTGGAAGGAAGCAAATGTGTTACGCGGGCGGATCTCACTGTATTGAATGTGCAAGGAACTGAAGGTAGCATTTTACTCATGTTAAGTCATGGATTGTTTTCTCTGCATCCTTTCAATGTGTAGGTGCTTTGTCCAATTGACAAAAACCCCATGGATTAGAGGAGCCCGTTGAATACTTGAACAGTACTGAAAGGGCCTTTTTCACCCAATGTAGGCCTCAGGCCTTGTAACTAAGCAACGTGGGCCATGTAAAAGTAAAGCAGCCTGAAAAGGTATCTCGCCAGGGCTCAGAAACGTGAAAAGCAGGTCAAGAGTCCAAGTTCTCTACCAACGGGCACATCCYGAAGCAAAGGGCATTGTCAAAAGACTTACCTGTTCGCCAGCAGTTGTGTAGGTCATGAATAAGGTGTGTCTGTACGAGCAGCCATTGTGCCTGTTCGTGAACAGAGGAAAGGTTGTGTCTGTATGTACAAAGTTGATGTCTGTTCGGACAGTAATAGTGTCTGTTCGTCTAAGATGTGACCTTTCAAAAGGAAGTCAACAGTTRTGTCCCAGTGGCTGGTCTGAGTCGTAGGGGCRGTCCAGATCCAGACTTCAAAATTCAGATTCGGGCCGTGAGGCCTCAACAGCAATTGCTTTTCATTGGGAGTGCTCTGGGACACATGCAATGCAGGGTCTGGGACACATGCAATGCAGGGTATGGGACAAAAGGACAGGCCGAACTGAGCCAATGCAGACCCAACGTGGAGAGGCCAGCACTACTTAAGGAGCAGCCAGCCTCATTCCACGGCAGATCTCCTCTGGCATTCAAT